GGGGGTTAGAATGTCAACATATGAACTGGGGGTAGGTGGGCATCCAGACCACAGCACAAACATTCTTGCTAAAATTGCAAGAAAATTCCCTACTCTCATGGCAAGACAAGTAATAAACTGATGTGACTTAATCCAACTCAATTGCTGTGAATTTTCATAGTTTTTTCAGGGGTTCTTTTTTTGGTCCACTTGCTTGGAACCTCCCAAGTTTAGTCTTTAGACTACTTTCCAGGTTCAAAATTTTTGGTATTATGATTTTCCTTTCCTTCATTTTCTGTTCCTATATTCCTCAACTTTCATTCTTACCCCTTTACTCCTCTGCATGTAGGCTTTATTTTCTTTTTGACTCTAACAAATGCTATTGATGCTCCACCAGAAAAATACCTCATCAAAAGTAAACTGCAAGATTTTCTAATTAAAAATTTAGTTAGGGATTCTTAGGGCAGCAATAGACATGGCTTCAAAATTCAAGACTGTTTGATCCCTGCTCCATGGAGGGAAGGTATGTGTTTCCCTTCCATTCTAGGGAAAATGTCTTTTCCTCTCTATCTCTTTCCTCCTCTACCTCTCCTGCCCCAATAAAATAGGCCAATAGACTTTGGGCTGCAGAGTACAAAATACTTTAATTTACATATCAAATAATGTTAACTATTTATATTCTAGTAAGGCCCTCAATAATTATATATTTTTAAAGGAAATCACTAGACTGGGCTTGGTGACTCAGCCTGTAATCCCAGCACTTTGGGAGGCTGAGGCAAGTGGATTGCCTGAGCCCGCAGGTTCGAGACCAGCCCGAGCAACTTGGCGAGACCTTGTCTCCACAATAAATAAAAAATTAGTTGGGCATTGTAGTGCGTGCCTGTAGTTCCAGCTACTTGGAAGGCTGAGGCAGAAGGATCGTTGGAAGCCAGCAGGTCGACGCTGAGGTGGCCATGAGTGTGCCATAGCACTCCAGTCTGGGTGACAGAGTGAGACTCCAATTCAAAAAAAAAAAATCACTAATTATTACTCAGGAATACTTTTGCTTGGAGATTTGAGGAACAGGATTATTTGTAATTACCTAACACTTAAAGAAATCAAACACCTCATTAAATATATCTTTAGGAAATACCGGAGAGTCAGTTGTGGTTTGGCTTGTGATCATGACCTTGGGAAGTTACTTAACCTCTCTAAATGCCAGCTTGCTTCTCTTAAAAATGATGACAAAAATGTTTTCCTCAAAGGGTACATATGAACATTATGGAGATCATATATATATAAAACTAACTTCTCATAGTTCCTAGTATTAAAAATTCATAATATTTAAAAATAATGCTAATGGTGACGATGTTTTTAGTCAAGTAATCACATGTACTTTTACCCTGAATTTTTAAAAAAAGTATTTCCTATCCCTTAGGCTACATTACTATGTTTACTATTTTCCTTTTACAGTTAAAATAAGCTATAACACAGTCTTCATTTCCCATTTAAAATAATTAATTACACTCCATAAACAAGATTTTTCTTTATTGATATGTAATCACATCTGTTTTTCCATGCTTGGGGGAATCTCTGGACCAATCAATACACAAAAAATCAAACTTAATTTATACGCAATAAAGTGAATCATCTTAATATCAGGAGCAAATATATCTTTCTCTTATTGACTGCTAAGTATAGCATACTAACTACATTTCCATTAATCTATCCATTTAACAATATTTATTAGCTACTTTGCATTAGGCAATGCTCTAAGTTTTGGGATAGAGCAATGAACAGACAGAATCCTTGGCCTCATGGATATTATCTCCAGTGTCAAGAAGAATACACTTATTTGTGAATTAGAATATGTGGTTTAGTCAGGGCAAAAAATCTTGTCCCCTGGGAAGTATTGTGGGATTGCATACATCACGTAGGAGGAAAACTACACATTGAGGTTTGCATGCAACTGTTAAGAATGAATGGGAAAATCATTACATTTAGTCCCTATTATATCTTTGTTGGTACTACAGGGTGCAAAAGTGATACGATATAGTATCTCCCCTCACAGAACTTCCAATCTAGTTGAAGAATATAAACACAAAGTCTGTTTCTTTAGTGTAACAAAAGACCAATATGAAGAATATAAGTTGAAGGAGCACATGTTCATGTAGTTCAAATGGAGTATCACACTGTATGCCATCATTTCAGGATTGATGGCAGATACATTCTTTTATGTTGCAAATTGGGACATTAGTGCTTTTAGGAAATAGTAATGCCCACCATTCTAAGTCCCTTGGTATTACCATTTCATTGATTAAGCTACATTTCTGATATTTCGACTAAAATGTTTTGGCTTCGGAACACTATCACAGTCCAGGAAACCTATCTTCTTGGATATATAAAACAAAAACAAAACAGATAATTAAAGTGCAATTAGGGAGAACTAAGCCTATGAAAATGGCATATACTGATATTAACACACCCCGTAGATGGAGTAAAAGAAGTGAGCTTCGGCCAGGCTCCGTGGCTCAGCCTATAATCCCGTGCTTTGGGAGGCCAAGGTGAGTGGATTGCCTGAGCCCACGGGGTTCGAGACCTGCCTGGGCAACTTGGCGAGACCTCATTTCTACAATAAATCAAAAAATTAGCTGGGCGTGGTAGCGCGCGCCTATAATTCCAGCTACTTGGAAGGCTGAGATGGAAGGACTGCTGGAGCCCAGCAGGTTGAGACTGCGGTGGCCGGAAGCGTGCCACTGCACTCCAGTCTGGGCGACAGAGTGAGACTCCAACTCAAAAAAAAAAAAAAAAAAAAAAAAGAAGTGAGCTCCAATCTGGTTAAAAGATTCTAGGGGACATTTAATGGAAAAGGTGTCATCTAAGTCCAGTCTTAAAACACAGGTATACTACTGATATGCAGAAAAAGGGTGCAGAAGGCAGACAGAAAATGTACTCAGTGGAGTTTGGCAGTAGACAAGGAGACACTTATTTTACAACCATAGAGTACTGTTTGGAGGAGAGGCTTATCTTAAAACCATAGAGTACTATTTGTTGGACACAGTGAGTGGAATGTAGAACACTGAAACTAGTTTAAATCTTTACTGCCAGCAATGATGGTTTCCTTCTGCTCAAAGGTCTTATCTAGAATCAAGCCTGTAGGCTCCTCTTCACCTGCCTGGGGCCAGTGCCCTACTTGGCTCCTTTAAGACTAAAAGCTCCTCTGGAAAAGCAGGCTTCCCTGTGTGTGGTGTTTTATGTTTTAGTCACATTTTAATGTGATATTGTTATAACAAACACTGTTTATTGTGTATACACTAAACACTAAAGCAGGCTGATTTCTAATTCTCAGACTAACTTTTAAAGGTGGATATTTTTACTCTCATATGACAATTGAGAAATCAGATTTAAGATTAATGGAATCACTAAGACTACAAAACTAGAGCGTATATTTCAACATTGGTCTATCTGGTTTTAAAATTCAATCCCATTCTACTCTGGTGGTTCTTAACCAGTGGTGACCATTTGAATTACCTGGAAAACTTTAAAAATGAAATTTCTTTAAATTAGTTTTTAATCAATGAAAAGCGTGTACACAGTTCCTAAGAAATCAAAAAATATGGTTGGACTGGTAGTGAAAACCAGCAAACATCTGTCTTTTATCTACCCACTCCCTGATTTTGTTGCTCCAGAGACAACCACTTTTAACTCCTAGGTACTTCTTATTGCCTTTTTCTCTTACAAACATGTTTACACTGCTTTTTCTGGATTTTTCTACACTAGAGCTTGATTGACTTTCCACAAGTTCGCATCTCTCTTCTTTCCCACCCTCCCAATGTTACAGGATTTCTTATTAAATCAGTATTCAATATTTATATAATGACTGACATTACATAACTAGTTTATTCATATTTGAGGTATACAGAGTAATTTTTAAGTTTTTATTTTTTCTGGGGTTCATAATCACCCAGTTTTGTTTTCTTAATTTTGAAAAACCTGCAGATCACTTATTTATCCTCTGTTCTGAAAAATGAAACATTCTCGTCTATATTCAAATAAACTAGGTACGCTATCAATTTTTCTTCTTGAAACATCCTACCTGAACTCTCCATCTTTAGGCATTTCCTGCTGACTTCATGCTGTTCTCCCTAACACCCAATCTTTGTAATATAATTATATAACTATTTTAGAAACTTCATGGCTGCCTTGTAAGCAATAAAATGTCTTTTCCCTCTCAACAAGACTGTTATCTCTCCACGTCCCACTGTGTAGGCACACTATCACTATTCCATTTACCTTCCTCTCCCTCCTTTTAACATGCTCACTTGCATTCCCAGGGGTACTTTTAACACAGCCTGATTAACACTTGTGTTTTACTTTGTAATCATATTTCCTTAACATAAAAACCATAAAGAGTATTTCCATTATTATAAATAATTGTCATTCACTGAATAGCCAAGTTTTGTGCTATGACGATTCCCTCTTCTTCGGCTCCAAGGTCTTGTGCTCCCCCAGGGGCATTGAAACGAGCCCATTTTCTGATACTCTCACCACTTGTTCAAAATCCTGCCGCATTTTACGCTGGGTATTTGGAGGATGCTTATTCCGGGCAGTTTTGGTTTGTTCCACCGAAAGTCTCTCATTTGCATTATCTTCTCTCGTGGAGTGAAGAAACACATGCCTTTCCCAGCACGGCCTTAACACTCTGGGCGCATTCACTCAAGTCTTGCTCACAACCCCATACAGCATTCCCGAAGTTTAATGATTTGCTTTTTCCTGAAAATTTTAGGCTCCTTTTTAAATAATGCATCCCGTGCCCCTTGTCACATCCTGAAATTCGTCGGGGGTTTGCTTTAAGGATGCAAACCTTCTTAAATCTTTTCGGGGGTCTGAACCGAGGCTCTGGGTTCCCGCCACCGCGCTATCTCCCCTTTCCAGGTTCGGCGGACTCCCCGCAGTTCTGGGGGGACCTCGGCTGGGAGCGCAGAGCGCAGGCGCGGAGGGCGCCCGGGTACTCGCGCGAGACCGCGGGGCTCGTCGCCGGCAGCTCCGCGAAGCCGCGGGGCCCTCTGGGAGGCGGCCATCACTCTGGCTGCGAGGCCGGCAGCTCAGGGAGTCATCGCTCTAAATGTGTACCTGCAAACGGATGTTGAGGATCACGGAGCCCGCGACGTAGAAGTACGGGAAGTTCATGCGCAGCTGCCAGGCCAGCTCGAAGAAGGCGAGCAGGGTGCGGGAGAGCCCCTTGCAGAAGACCCCGTAGGAGGTGGGGGCCGCGGCCGGGCTCGAGGCCCTGACGGCCAAGGAAGACGGAGCCGCCGCGGGAGCCATGGGCCCGGCGTCGCCGCCCCCCAGCGAGTGGAGCCCAAGGTCGCCGCGGGCCCCGCGAATC